CGCGGCGCCGGGGCCGGACGTCCGACTCGTAATGGCAGATTTATGGGACGTGCGCCGGGGAGAGGCACTCGGGGGCGGCGGGCGCGCGCCGGCCAACATCTGTCCACTTCTGGCTGTTTCGTCTTGGAGTGGCGCTGCGGTGCGGTCCAGTGGCGTCGGGGTCCAGGGTCCAGGCGGGTGCCCATTTAGTTCAGCTGACTAAAGAGAATTACTGGTGGAAAAGATTTGGAGTGGGGCAAAAAAATGCGAACACCGGGAATGATGATGATCCTCTGTGTTCGGCCACCTCACCTCCAGCCCAGCAGCAGCAGCAGCGGGGGATCTCAACTATTCAGCTCCAACAAATGACCGATGTGTTTTATTCACTGAAACTGGAACGGGTTCTGGAGCCTGCAGCCTGGAGGGCGTAGCGGGCTGGCCGGGCGGACAGTCGGGCGCAACAGCAGACGGACGGGCGGCCGGATCGGCCTCGCTCTCCTCTCCTTCATATGGGTCGGAACGTTGCAGGCATTTTCACGCCATAAGCTCTGCAAAAACGCAACCAATCACTGCCAAATCGGGAATGTGCTCATCGGGGCCCCCTCCCCACTCCCCGCACTGGAGCGGTCCCAGGGGCCTGCCTGCACTGACGCCCGTATTTGTCTTGAGGACGAGGGGCAACGACAGCCAAAGGGGAACCCTGTCTGGAAACTTTTACAGATATTTCTCCCTCAATTTTGAATTTTTCGGTGACTTGAAGATTGGAAATAAAATGCTCCCCCAGCCTCTTTTTAAAGCTAACTTATTGCACATGTCAGACGCCCGCAGCTTTTAGCTTGTGTTGTTTTTATTTGGTTCAGAAGTCATTTTTTTCGCTCCGGTCGTACTCTTTCCCAGTATTTTGACCGAGCCACACCAGTTCCATACCTGCTGGCCCGGTCCGTTGGGGCTTATCAAAACGAGTTGATCCCTCAGCGCGCTCGTGTGTGTGTGTGTGTGTGTGTGTGTGTGTGTGTGTTGGTGTTGGTATGTGTTGGTGTGTGTGTGTGTGTTAGTCAGCATATCTTGGCCGCGGCGCCCACCTGGTTGCGGCGTTATTCTGCCGTGAGTGTGTCGAACTCTTCCGAAACTGCTGTTCCTGCTGAGGCACCTGACGAGCGCTTTTGATGAGAATGTTGTTGCTACTCTACAGTGTAGCACACAAAGTAACCAAGAGCGAGGTGGGAG